GGTGTTCGGGGCGTGAGCCGCTGTTCCTGCCGGTGCTCCCGTGCTGGCAGCGAGGGTGCTGGCAGAGCATGGTGGTGGGATGGGATGGGAGATGGTGGCTGGCCGGGGATGCCCTCGGGCGAGGGGACCCCTGCGCTGAGCCTCACGCCGGGCTGCTCCCTGCAGGCACCAGGAAGGCAGATGGCTGCAGCAGCCTCTGCTCCCCTGCCCTGCCTCCTCGCAGCTATCGCTGAAAAAGGAATGCCACATCTGCTGCTGGATCACGCCCAAGCCCTCCTGGTTTCCAGCCCAAGCTGCACAAGTAAGCCCAGAGAGAGGGAAATCTGAAACTGCGGCTGGGAGGGAGCGGGGTCAGGAGCAGCATTGGCTCTGCGGCTGCGTCCCGGCTCCCCCGGCCCTGGAGCAGCTGAGCTGGGCTGAGATTAGCTGAGCTGGGCTTGGAGCAGGCTGACAGTCCGGCTGGTCTGTGAGTTAGCAAGGCAACCAAGGCATGAAAGCCCTTAGAAGCACAGGGGAAGGTAGTCCTGTGTTGTATCCAACCCCTGGCACGTGAGCAGGGGAAGCCTTGTCTTTGCAATGAGGACGTAGCGCTCCACCCGCATCCCGGTTCTGAGCATCCCTGGGATGGGCTGCGTTTAACAGATCTGTAAAACTGCCTGTTGCCCAGAGGGTGAAGCTGGGTGCTTGTAGTGCAGTGTCCAGTATCTAAACTGGTGACTGCTTCGCTGCAGGATTATTTCACAGCCTCTGGCTCTGGCCTCTTTTTGACCCTCCCGCAGCCTTGTTGCAATTCAACGCGGAGGGGTGGTGCCCGTTGGCACTGGAGGTGCGCAGTGCCACGGAGCCCGGCTGGCCCTTTGCTCCCATCCCAGCAGTGGTCTGGGATGGACTGTCAGTAGCTTGTGGTCCCGAAGGGTTAATTGGGGATAACTCAGGCTAGGCTGGGAATTCAGACTGGAGACTGAGAGGTGCTGGAGACGGAGAGGTGCTCAGCAGGTTTGTCATTCAGCCCTTCCCCTTGCTGCACCGCTGGGCTGATAGGAGGCTCTCCAGACTTGGCGTTAGCGAAGCTCTCAAGGCGTTCCTGAGATGTTCCTGGGTTCTCCGGGAGCTAAGCACGACAGTTATGCTGCACGTGTAGAGACCCGGCTCTTGGGAAAACTGCCTTGGGAGCGAGTAGCCAGCCCGTGCTGCCCTGTGCCGGGCAGCAGCCCGGGGAAGGGCATTTCACTTGGCATAAGAGGAGCCAGCAAACGATAGGCATCACCTAATTGCTGCCTCTCCCTGCCTTCTTGCTCCGTACTGTGGGTCCTCATTCACAGTCTAGGGATTGTTATCTTTGCGCTTGCGAGCACCACGGTGTCAGGATGGGCACAGCAATCCCACCTCCGGGACCTGCGTTAGCCAGATAAGGTTGTGTGTGGTGACATTTAAAAACCTGAATATCGTCCTACTGGTGAAATAAAAGGAAATGGTGTTTCAGGATCTTGTTTGGAGAGAACTGCCTTCTGCAGCCCCCAGCCCACAACTGGAGCGGGTGTTTCCCTTGTGAGTGTGCTCAGGCTGGGGCAGGCGAAGGGAAGAGGGGATGTGGTGCACCACGGGGACCCGTCTGGGGTGGAAGGTGGCACCATGGGGAAGCCCTGTCCTTTCCTCTGGATGGAGGTGGCTGGTCCTGACCTCTGGTTGCTCACCTCCTCCTGCGTCACAGCATCGCCCAGCACCGAGCCCTGCCCCTGGTGCCTTGTGATTCACTGGCGCTTTTGGGGCCAAAGACGACGTTTAGAGGGAACGTTTCTGAGTAACCCTGTCAACAAGAATTCACTTAAAACAATTAAAGCAACCGCAGCCGCGTTGCCGTGGTTTGCTCATGCCTGGCTCTGCCGGAGCCCCAGCCCGCTGTGGTCCCTCACGTTTACTTTCTCTCTCTCCGCAGAATGCGATGAACTTGCCGCCCGACAAAGCCCGGCTGCTGCGCCAGTACGACAACGAGAAGAAGTGGGAGCTCATCTGTGACCAGGTAAGGGCAGCTGGGAGGGCTCTTGGAAGCCATCCCGTTGAGAGCGCAAACTGGGTGTCCTGGGCGTAGAAAGGGACCGTGCCGAGGTATTTGAACAGATTCACACGCTCATTTTTTTGACTTTATGCTCCATCATTGGTAATGACTCGTAGAAGCCTTGCAGTGATAATTCCCTTTTTTGCCACAGAGTGACATTTCTTCCCCTCTGATGTTACTGTCACCCCTGTGCCCGTTTCCTCTGGGCAGTGACATTCAGTCACTTTTTGGGGAGTGCTTTGGGTTTGGTCTGTCTTATCCTATGGAATACGAATGAACGGTCTCGATCCGGTGAGAATTTGGCTTTCCGCATCACAAGCCCTTAACGCAGTCGGCTGTAGCTGTCGCCTTCAGGAGGAGGCGAACGGAGATGCAGCCTCAACTCCTCCTGCCTCCAGAGGCTCGGATCAAGCAGCACCGTGTGCTGGGGCATCTCTGGGCTCTGCTGGGGACTGCAGGCTTGGCCGTGATATAGAACAATTAACAGGTTGGCTCTGCCTTGACAAGTGAACAGCAACTGCATTGTTTAGAGAAAGCGAAGCGTGCAGGAGGTAGGATGTCCATTTGCAAGCCAAGAGCAAAATCAGGTTCTGCCTTAAACTTCAAAAGTAATCACTAATGAAAATAATTGATCCAGGACTGGGAAAGTAGGATGTTTCCTTGAAATGTAAACACAGCCGTACCAGGATGAGAGTTTGGCAGAAGGTGCCGTCATGCTGTGAGGTCAGGAACATTTTAATAACTAAATTCGTAGGACATTTCCTATTTAGCTATTACAGTGACGAGGCCTCAGATAAAACCCAGCTACCTTAAAAGTAAAGCTTAATAAAGAATTACTTGCTTTTTACCGTGAGTTTTTCTGGACAGAAGACCTAAAGCATCCAACTATTTTAAGTTTCAGTTTGGTGAGACACTGAACAAATTGCTTAATCCACTGTAAGTGGCTTGGTTCATGGATGTTTGCGTAGAGCGTGCGCCTGGAAGGGCGAGCGTTGCGCTGGCATCGGCGTGGTGCTTGCACCAAGTTGGCAGCAGGGCAGGCAGAAGCAGCTGGATCACAGCCTCGACGTGCAAACTCCCACCTCCGAGCGGATCCACCCTGCGCGTCGTGCAGCTGCTGCTGATTCACTCCTGAACTCCACAGCAAGATAGGAGGGATGAGCGGATGGAAATTTGCAATCTGGAGTAATCGGGAATCTTAATAGCTCCTTGCACAACGCTGAGGCCACCCCTGGCTTGGGATGAATCTGCTTCCCATCGCGTGGAGAGGGTGGGCACGGAAGCAGGGCAGGACTGTTGTGCCCAGCACTGCTTGCCAGCTGCTGTACCTTGGAGCAGTGGGAAGCAGGTGTGTCTGCAAAAGCACCATAATGCAGCATATGGGGTGTGAAATATTTATAGCTGTCCACATAATGATGGTGCGTGGCTGAAAGCACTTTCAGGAGTAGATTTTGTACGGAATGTATGGGGGTTTTTTTGTGCAGATGCAAATTTTAACTGCTATTTTCTATTGGTATCACCCATTACACCATTTTCACCCGTTTTTGCTTAGGGAAGAACTGAGGATGTAAATTAATGTAGCAGCGTGAGGAAATTAACTCTTGCCCTCCTGTGCTGGTTTTCAACTTAGATCTGAAAGGAAAAAGGGTCCATTTAGAAAATGATGTTTTCTAAATAGTCTGTAAAGCAGACCCTGGCCATGTGTCTGAGAAATATGTTGAGAACATTAGGGGAGAGAGTGCGGCCCCTGAAAGGAGCTCTGACTTTTGCAGAAGTGAGATTAACAGAAGTGAGGAGCTACCAGTCTCGTAGTAGTAGTAGTAATAATAACAACAACAATCTGCCATGAGTAGGATTGTGCACGGTGTAGCGAATCATTGTGAGGGTTGCTGGGCTGGCATGTCCTGTGTCATGTCTTCTGTTCCTCTGTCTATAAACCTTGGAAGTCATCTAAGCATTGCTGCTGGTGTCCTGAAACCTCACACCCTACTCCTCTGGCTAGTGAAGAAGGAGGAGAAGAGCAAAGCCAGTGAACCTGTTGTCCATGCCAGCTGAACAGTAGTCATCTGGGGGGTGAGCGTTGGGCAGGATCCAGGCAGGGAAGAGGATACCATTTTCTGGCATGGTGAGCCACCTGAGCCAGCCTATGGTTTGTGGTGCTCCGGGCCTCTTTATCCAACTGCATGCCATGAGGTGTTACAGAGGGGACAGGGGTGTTGAGGGAGGAGGATGGGGACATCTTACAAAGTTCTTCGTTGCCCTCTAATGGCAAATTGTGGCAGGGTCATCACCACGTCCTCACCTTTGGAAACGCTGGAGGTGTGTGTGCGGAATAGTGATATAAGAGACCTAAGACGAAAGTCATGCGGTTTACATCCAAAATATCCTCACTGACCTATTTGTAGAACTCTCTTCCTTTCCTAAAGAAACGCCTAATGAAGGCAGGTGCTGGGGGTTTTGGAGGCTGGTGGCCAGCATGGAGCTCGCTGGGATAGAGTCATGCAATGGTTTGGATTGGAAGGGACCTTAAAGATCATCTAGTTCCAACCCCCCTCCATGGGCAGGGACACCCTTCACTACACCAGGTTGCCCAAAGCCTCATCCAACCTGGTCTTGAACACTTCCAGGGATGGGGCAGCCACAGCTTCTCTGGGCAACCTGTTCCAGTACCTCACCACTCTCAGAGTGAAGAATTCCTTCCTTATATCCAATCTAAATCTGCCCTCTTTCAGTTCAAAGCCATTGCCCCTTGTCCTGTCACTATATGCACTTGTGAAAAGCCCCTCTCCAGCTTTCCTGTAGCCCCTTTAAGTACTGGAAGGCTGCAAAAAGATCACCCCGGAGCCTTCTCTTCTCCAGGCTGAACAGCCCCAACTCTCCCAGCCTGTCTCCATAGCAGAGGTGCTCCAGCCCTCGCATCATCTCCGTGGCCTCCTCTGGACCTGGTCCAACAGCTCCATGTCCTTCGGATGTTGGTGGCCCCAGAGCTGAACACAGTATTCCAGGTGGGGTCTCATGAGAGCAGAGCAGAGGGGCAGAATCCCCTCCCTCGCCCTGCTGCCCACGCTGCTCTGGATGCAGCCCAGGACACGGTTGGCTTTCTGGGCTGCCAGCGCACGGTGTCGGCTCATGTTGAGCTTCTCATCCACCAGCACTCCAAGTCCTTCTCCTCCGTGCTGCTCTCAATCCATTCTCAGCCCAGCCTGTACTTGTGCTTGGGATGGCGGTGGGTGCTCACAGCTTCATTTATCTGACTTGCTGACCTTGAGAGGGGTGACTCACTGAAAATCCTACACAGCGAGCAATGGAGCAGTGGGAGGTACGTGTGTGGGACACGAGGGGTCTGAGGCTCAGCGGTGTGGGGGTGGGCATGGATCAGCATCTCTGGCCGTGGAGGGAGCGTCTGCAGCTCTCGTGGCTCTTGGCTGGGTCCCTCGCAGAAGCACTGGTGACCTGCTTTTGCAGAAAACCAATAGAGGTGGAAACGGATCCCTTTGCCCCCTAATTAGCTCAGAAAGGAGCAGCTGCTGTCATTTCATTCCATAGCAAGACCTAGGAAGTGACGTGCCATGCTGCCGGCGGGCCGGCTGGGTCGCCGGGGCCGGGGCTGCGTGGGGTGGGTGACAGGCGGTGGGAACGTGCACTGCGTTTACGACGCATTTGTGCCTCGGGCTGGTCTCCAGCCCTACTCATCCACCTCCTTTCCCCAGCATTCACCATCCGTGTGCTTCGTGCCCTCCTCGCAGCCACTGCCCTCTGGTGTTTCTGGCAAGCCGGGGTACTGGGTCGGGCACACTTACCTGATGTGTGTGAATCCTAAGAATGAAACAAGTTAACGAGGGTAATAATAATAACGACAACGTATTTCACTAGTGCGGAAAATATCCTGAGTGTTTTTGGAAGCAAAAGATCTCTGGAAAAGCCACAATTTCCTGGTTATGGAATAAATACGTTTTCCAGATTTGGGTGAACAAGAGCTGTGTTGAGTCCTTCGTAGGATCACATGGAAGAGGAAACGCATAAATCCGGCAGTTCCTCTTTGCTGCTGAAGCAAAGCCTCCCTTTTTTGGGATCCATCAAAGTGCTAATTCTGGAGATTGCCGGGCAAAGAAGCACAGGAGCAGTGTTGTGCTCCCCTGTTCCAGCTTTTTCCGCTCACTTCTTGTCATTTATTACCCCAAAGGGAGGTGTTGGGGACCAGGACATCTCACTGCTCTCTGCCCTTGGCTCCTCTGCGCTTGTCCGTCCTTCTGGCTTATAGCCTCAGCAATTTTTCAAGGAAGAAAGGGCCTTTTATCCTTGGGAAATTAAGTTAGTTTGCTTTCTAGGTGGCTGACAAAGGCAGGGGCGAGTTATTGCTGGTCTGCACCGTTCTCCGTTCAGGGCTGTAGATAGTGTTGGTGCTTCTATGAGTCACGTAGCGGAGATAAAATTGGTTTCATTGGGATTTATTAACTTTGTTGTGTCTGAATGGCTCGGTCCTGGGGAGGGGAAGCCACCGTGTCCCAGTCGTGATGTCACCTACTGGCTTACGCTTTTTATTCCGTGAAGTTTGGAGACTCAAATACAGATTTTGAGTTTTATATGTGTGGTGAAAATCCCCGACCTCCTCACTGAAATGGTGTCAAACCCCTTGCCATATCAATTCTTATTTTGAAAGCAGATTTGTCCAGTGAGCAATTGCGAATTAACCAAAAGTGAAAAGAAAGAGCAGACAGGAAAAAGCAACAATTTTTAACTCATTATTTACGGTATCCAAGGCAAGTGGGTTACGTGTGAACAGCACTGCCTCGATGTTAGCTGGGATACATAGATATCAGGAAGAATTTCTTTCCAGAGAGGGTTGTGAAGTATTGGAACAGGCTGCCCAGGGAGGTGGTGGAGTCCCCATCCCTGTAGGTGTTTAAAAACCGTGTGGATTTGGTGTTGAGCAACATGGTTTAGGGACCCTGACAGTGCAGGGGGAACAGTTGGACTCGATGATCTTGAAGGTCTCTTCCAACCAGACGATTCTATGATTCTATGAAACATGTTTCTCTCTGCAAGGAAGTGAAGAAGAAGGACCAGAAGGACCTTGAGAGGAGCCTGGGCTGGCCAACCTGCACAGTCACCTACATGGCAAGTGAAACACCAGACTGCAGTCGCGCTGCTCCGATGGGCACGGTGCCTTCCCACCCCCTGGGACCTCTGGCAGAGGCCCAGGTTTTTGGGAGGACGCTGGCTGCAAGCAGCCGTTCGGGGTGTCCCGCAGGCGGCGGGGAGCCTGGGGCTGCCTCGCTGCACCGCACCGAGCCCCGGTTCCTGCAGCTTGCGACGTAGCAGCCTCTAATATAAACCAGTCAAAGCTGGGTAAACCGAGACAGTAATCATAGCCAGGAAAGGGCAAGTTTAAGGGCTAACCTCTCAAAGCAGAAGAAACACTTTAAAGGGCTATAAAAATGTTTCCAGGACTAGTAGACTAACCACTAACCAAGTGGTTCTTGGTTAGAACTAGTTAGAGAAGAGCATTGCTGGTATCTGCTGTTCATGGATAATGTCTTTAAAATCCTTCAACCCACATAATTCTACTAGGCAGTAATGAGCAGCATCTTTTTAATGAAGTTGCTGTAGAGATTATTACATAAATACATAATTGCAGTTGGGTTTTAAGAAAACAAACAAAAACATATAGTATCTGCATCTCAGACTACGAAATGTGCTCGTCGAGTGTCTTCAAGCGTTTCATTTTGAAGACTCCAGATATTAAATCTGACAGTAAGGAAAAGCTCCTGTCTCTTTAGCAGATGATGCCTGATTAGTTAGTAAGAGAAATAAATCCATGAGAGTAAAATAGCTTTTCTGGAGGATTAGGCTAAACACAGCAGCACTACAGTGGCATGAGACAACCCCCAAAAAGGGGAGGAATAAATAGGAGACCTAATGTGGAGCTAATATAAGCACTGGAAGCACTTCCAGTTAGCTGCAGATTTATCTACAAGGGTGTGAAAGGGGCAATCTGACCCATGAGGACCAGCTGAGATGAAACTGGCTCCAAGCACCCATGCCTGTAGAGCCAAGAGGAAGCAGGGGAGGATGGAGCGGGACGGACACCCTGGATGTCACTTTGGCCAGAGAGGAGCTGGCAACGAAGAACTTCGTGTTTCCTGAACTGTTTTTCAGATAAAAAAGAAATGCCAAATTCCAGGGCTGTGTTTGGGCTGTACGTGTGAAGGTGCATGGAAAAAAAATCCAGTTGTAAAAGAAGAAAGAAGTGTCTGCTGTCTGACTTACAGAGCTCTCACCCGGGGCTGGCGCACCACAGGGCAGATTTTTTTGTTCATTTTTTCCTTCTGACCATGATGAATTACTTTTTTTTTTTTTTTTTTTTCAGCAAGATAATAACAGGAACAACTTTTGGTGTTCAGACAGTACATTCTGGTAACTGGGCAGCAGCGTCCTATTCATTATGAAATAACTTTCAGATAATGTAGTCAAAATTGCATCCTGACCTAATAAAGGGAGGTTTCAAATATCGGTTATAAAATGCGAAATTTTGGGAGGAAATTGTTATGAGATCTTTCCTTAAGGGAAGGGGCAGAATAGTTTAAAATTCTTCCAAGATACAAATAGTATCAGAACTTTTGGTAATGCTCTTAACAGGTTTGGACACAGCATACTCCTCGCAGAACAGCTCGTGTTTCGCAGCATCTTTAGGATGAATTTCAAGCCGGCCGTGCAGCTGGTAAAAAAGCACGTGAAAATCAAGCAGCTCTCAGAATACAAACTTTGCAGACCTGCTATTTGTCATCAGAATCTTTTATTTGGTTCCGAATGTGGCCAGTGCTGGGTTGCAGATGGAGTTGCCCCCTGTAAGGTGAGGTGCTGGGGGACGTTCAGGGAGAAGCGAGTCTCCAAGGCAGGTGGGAATTTCTCGGCACCGAACTAGCAGCGAGCGAGATGGGGCAGGGAGATGGGGCACGCTGGGGGTGCGACAGAATGCAGGGACACAGACGTGGGGAATGAGATGTTTTACGTGGGTAAAACCCATGACTGCAGGAACCTGCCTTCCACCGTGTCCTGAGGTTCATCAGACTGCAGCCTTGGTTGGGAGAAGAGGCACGTGGTGGTTCCTAGGCTTTCCCAGCAGGATGGGGATGGGCATCTGGTCCCTAATTTCCCTGGTAAGTGGAACAGTGGCCTCCGTAGCGTTTGCCAGCTCGCTTCCCACCGTGCTGGAGATCCCTCAGCTCTGCCCTCGTGTGACACAGGTGTGGAGGGAAACCTTGCAAATCTCCAGGAGCTGTGGGACGAGCTCGACCACCAGTGCTCTCCCTGTGCGAGTGGTGCTGGCAAAAATGGTGTGGGGAGCTGACCCCAAGGCGTGATGAACGTGATGGTGCTCAAGCGTTGTGTTGACGTAGATGCTGCTGGGACTGGGTGTATCTGTGTAGAATAAAGAAGCCCTCCTGTGTGGTGGATGGTAATGAATCTGCACGGTACTGCCCGGAGAGCTGGCCAGCCCCGTGCGTGCTTTGTAATGGAAGTAAAGCCTGAATAATAATAAAACTGGTCCTCGTTTGCCTGTGGAGGTCCACCAGGGTGAACTGAACCCACCGTGGCCCTAATACTGTGTGACCTCTTTGTGGCCATGGCAAGGGAGGCTTTGCCTGTGCCCGTGGCACTCACCCCAGTGCTTGTAAACGGGAACTAGCGGTAAGGGTTGGGCTGGGAGCTAGTGGGCTGCTTAGGAAGACAATCCAGTTTAATATCAATGGAGTTAAAATATTACTTGTTTCTTGGTAACATACTACTCTTGCATTCATTTTTCTGGAATCTGAACAATGAAATGATGTGACTTCTCCCATGTATTGACCGTGCAGCATGGTTTTAGGCTTGTTCCAAATGATAAAAAGGGTGTCTCAGCTTTTGCAGTGATGCCTTTCAGTCAAACGTGGACATGTGTCCGCTCTTCTAATGCTTCTCTCTTCTGTCAGTACTCTTGACTTGCAGAAACCCTGTTATTTCAGATGTGTGTGTTTGTATGTGCAAGTAAAATTCAAAACCACCATTGAATATGTAAGGAATATTTTTATGCATCCTATATAAATATCAAATTTCAGATAAATGGAAATGTATTTTATTTGCGTGCATATTCTATGTGCATAGATTGTATATTTGTGACTGTAAGGTATGCACATAGGAAACTATATTATAAATAGATACTGTTTAAATATATATGTGCATGCATTTTATATATATAGTAAGTAAATACAGAAGATGTTGTAAAATGGCTGATGTTTATTCTTGTATCCTTTGCAGGAAAGATTTCAAGTGAAGAACCCTCCACATACATACATCCAGAAGTTGAAGGGCTATCTGGACCCAGCCGTAACCAGGAAGGTGAGGAGCGTCCTGTTTCCTCTCCTCTGTCCCTCCATGAGGATGGTCCCGGGGTCCGGGTTCCTTCCTGCCTTTGTGTAAAAGGCCCCGTAAAAGTCTTGGAGATGTAAGAAACTGCAGAGAGAAGCAAAGAGAAATTGGAAAGATGCTGCGGTTTTCGCAGCTCAGAAAGGAGAACGGATGTTGCATAGGAAAGGACCATCTGACACGCGAAACAAATTGTTTTAATAACTTCAGCTTCAGTAAACAGTGTGACAAATTATCACTGAGCTGTGCTCAAGGTCTGGCATCCCATGTGGGCAGAGCTGGTGGTGAGTAAAACCTCTGTCGGATGGCACTTTTCTGACCCATGTGAGAGGAACATTGAAATTTTAAGTCCTTTTCTCTGGGCAGTTGGGTGACAGAAGTTGGGTACAGGTGGCACCGTTCACCTCTCACAGCCTTATCCATGAATTTCAGGGTTTCGGGGTTTTTCAGGTTGTTTGTAAAGTAAAGACATCACCTGGGAGGTGCTTACACGGCAGAGCCTTGCCCATCCTTCTGCAGATTATTTTGTCCAAAATAGTTTGTTAATCACTCGTGAAGGACTCAGGCATTTCACTTGCCCTTCCACGTGAACCATGTGCATCCCTGACTGTGGCTCCTGTACCGGGATTGTGCCTGGTTCTGATATTTCTGCACCACTTTCATGGGCTTAGTGCTGGCCTCCAGGATTTTAAAATAACAATAAACCAACGTCCCATTCAGAGGACCGTCGCTGAACCTTTGGCATTGAACCACTTTGGATATCAGCTCACATCCTGTGTTGATAGTTATAATAGCCTTCAAAAAACCAACAAAAAAAAGGCAGCGAGAGCGCAGCAGATCCTGCCGTTGCCTGGCTCTGCCTCCTCCTCGACAATCGCTGCTTTGTGTCGCCGGACAATCAGCGGAGGCCGGTGCCCCGCGGGAAAACGCGGATCCTGACACGGGGCTCCCAGTCCGGGCCGGCTCCGGCCGCGGCGGAGGTGCAGCTCCATCCCGGCGAAAGGCGAGGGGAGCCCGGGGTGCCCGCGCCTCCAGCGTGCCATCGCTGCAGTAATGTCTTCTGACAGTGCTTCTCTTGTTGGAGGCTCTGACGAGGAGTAGGAAACCAGTTAGTAGGAAGCCTTTAAATTTCCCCGTAGCTGATTATAGGTTTTTTATTTTTTTGTTAAATAGTGAACAGGGGCCTTTGTCTTTTTTCTCCTGAAGGGTTTTTGAAATGCATTTAGTGTTTTTGGCTTTGCTGGGTGGTTACTCCGTGGGCGCACATTGAAGCCTTTCTTATCCTAATGCTGCTATAAGAGTCCCATGACAAATGACAAAACCCAAGGAGCCTAAAAATAACTCCATTGAGTTCCTCTCCTTTGTTGCGTTATTCTGTATCACCAGCAGCCTTTCCTCAGCTGGGGCTGCGAGGCGGAAAGGTTTACAGATGGGCTTCTGGATGGATGTAGGATATTGTGAGGAGAGCTTGTCTTACTGGGATTATTGCTGTAATTGAGGTGGTGTCAGTAGTTTTGCTGATGGTCCCCAACGTGGCCAAGAGAAGGTGGCTCCAAATGCTGCTGTTTCGACTTGTAATTGGGGTAGTAACGGCTCTTCCCAGGAAAACAATTGCTTTTCGTCCCAGCTGCGTTTGGAAACAGGAAAATGAAAGTGTTGAAATGACACATTTTAAAAGAAATTGCAGTCCGGTGGCTGCCGGAGCCCAGCAAACGCAGAGCCAGTCCGTTGCTCATGCCGTGGTTGCAAAGATGATGCAACCCATGTGGGATGATGATCCCACGTGGGAACGTGCTCCCACTCTCTGCCGTGCCCTCCCACCCCAGCCTCCTGTCTGCCTCTTGCTACTCAGCATTTTACCTTTACTTCTAGAGAGGTAAGGCTCCATGTCGCTCGCAGCTACAGTTAAACTCTCTCGGGAGAGAAGGTGCTGTGTTCTTGTACTCTGAGCTAATTAACCCAGGTCCAGAGAAACTGTTGGTCTGATCCCAACCAGCTATTTCAGAGTAAAAACTAATTGTGCCTGCATCTACTAGGACTTCACAGTGAGACATCTATTTCAGTCTGCCAGTGGCTTTCTGAGCTGGGATTTAGTCTTACTCCAGGTAAGCCAGCGGTGCTAACTAGCATGTGATAAAACCCTGGGCAAAAAGGCAGCTGATCATTTTCTCCTAGGTCAGCAGGGCAAGGTAAATCCCGTCCTTTCATCATCTTCACCTCAATAAATGAAATCCTGAGAATTATTAGCTGCCAAGTAGTCCCCTTGCTTTTATTGTGGTGCACTGAGAACAAACCCTTTTCCCCTGGTATTCAGAGCATGGTCCTACTTGCAGCAGTGGTGCTCCGTGTCCTAAACATTTATAAGCCCTTTCCAAACACGCCGAGTCTGCCTGTGTGGTAACTGGTGGCCAGGTTGGTTGTGAAGTACTGCAGTTCCAAGACGATTATCATTGTCCATCCCCTTCTGCTCTCACTTAGCCTGTTCACAAATGAGGATTTTACCAAAACAAGTGCTCCAGAATAATTTATCCAGTTGTTTTGGTACGTTTCCGTGGGCAGGGAGCCCCAGGCAGGAGAGAAGGGGACAGTCTTTCTGCAGCTGGTTCTACTGCAGTGTTCTACTTCTGCTGTTTTATGGCCTTTTCCCAGTATCTCATTTTGCAGACACAATTTAGCGTGCACAGATTATTAAAGCATGCAGATGGCAGCACACGTGTGTTTCGTTCTTGGCTCGCACCCACAGAGCTGGTAATTATGCAGAAATCACGGCAGGTTTTTTGGTGTGGGTGTCGTGTCGCGAAAGCGGGATTAAAGCACCAGGCTGAGAGCGAAACCCAAATGCTGTAGTTCTCAATGGGGAGTTTGATACTAAAACAAAGCTCGAATTGTAAAGAAATGTTTTATTTATTTACAGGCTTTTAATTTTCTTAATCCTGGAAACTCACAAATGTGCATGGGAACAGAAGTTGTTTTTCTACACGTTTTTGTTGACTGCTGTTGTTGTTGCATTCCTCAGGATTTAGAGGGGTTCTCAGTTTACCTTAGTGTTTTATTTATTCAATCTGCACTGCGTGAGATGTTGCTATTTTTGATAGCATCACGTGGGTCTAATTATTATTTTTGCCTGCTCACTCAATTACAGAAATTCAGAAGACGAGTCCAAGAGTCTACTCAAGTACTCCGAGAACTGGAAATTTCTTTAAGAACGAATCACATCGGGTAAGAATTTTTGAAGATCTCTGGTCTAAGATGTTTGGGGTTTTTTTTACCTCATCTGGTGAATGTCTTTGAGAAAATATCTCTTTGCATGTCAAGCAGTGATACTACTTGATTGATTGATTGATTGGTAAAGCCTGAAGGGCTTAGTTAAGGGGTAGCTGGGCATCTCAGGAAAATAATTCAGCCTTATTCCTTTCATGTTGGGGTTTATCCACGTCTTTGTGAAGGTTGTGAAAAGATTGTGGTTAACTTCTCCTCACCCCAAGTCAGCCAGAGCAGCAGTGAGCATGGTTGTGTCTAGGATAGTAATAGTATTGCAGCTATAAATATATATATTAACCCTCCCCATGCTGTTTTATAGCTTTAACATGATGCGGTTCATGAGGCCTGGCTGTGAGTAATGTTACTGGGATTTTACTTCCACAAAGCAGAAAATTCTTCTCAAATAGAGAAATTAAAAGAATCACCAGAGACTTAGTTTTTTACTGAACGTGCCGTTCCCGTCCGCGTTTCCACCGGTCTCACCTCCCTGCTTTGGGTCTCGGGACCAGAAGCCACTTCAGCACTGGTACAGCCAGGAAGTTTTCTTCAGCGCTTTGTTTCCTGACCACACTATGCATCCAGCTCAATTCCATCCATTTTACAGGATGCTGCTCTTATTTTGAGGAAACGAGAGTGTGTTAAACTGTGGGAGCAATAGCTGTTCTCTCTCCATGGAAGCCAACTCCCCAGCGCGGCGGGAGACCCTCCTGCAAGCTGCACCGTCACAGATATTTCCAAAAATCTTCTCCTGCATTCCTTGCTCTGGCTCCTGCTATGTTTTCCCTCGTTTCCCAACACAAAGGATTCCCCACCAGAGACTTAGGGCATCCAGAGCGTGATGCTCTGCAGATTTATGATGGCTCATGGGTGCGCAGAAGGAACCGTGATGTTGCACCAGATAAATAAAGGAGGCTGACAAGGCCAATGTTTATTGATTTCGTTCACTTGGCTGAAAGATGTGTTTCAAAATATGTTTTATAAAAATGCCAGGTTGTTTATTTTAGCAGGAAATAGCAAATGATTTAGAGCCCGAAGACTAGAGTAACTCAGAGGTAGTGAATTCCCACTCTGCTGAGAGCAGGGGAGCCCGGAGCCCCGGTTCCCTCCTGGCTCCCTACTTGTCCCAGTGACACCCAGCCCGCTCCTGTTGGGGTTTCGGCTGCCCTGGTTGGGGTTTGGAGGAAAGCCGAGCTGGGGCTGTGCTGAGGATCCTCGCTCACCTGGGTTTACCCCCAGATGTATGGATTTTCAAACTTTACTTGGCATTTTTGAATTTTTGAAAGCTTCGGAAGATAACAGGCTTTTTCTGAATCGAAGATTATTCTGCATAATTCTCAGGGAGCAAAATTCACAGCAATAAGTTAACATCTTCTAAAAAGAGAAGGCAAAATTACTGTGTCATGTGCATCCAGGATGCCACATCTCACCTTTGATGCTGTTACTCTTGTGCCGGTGTGCTGTCTGGATGCTTTTGAAATACTGCTACGGATCAGGATGTGGAAAAAAAATAAGCCAGGTCCCTGTGCCTCGTGCCCTCGAAGGCGGCTGTAACGGCTGCTCGGCGTTTTGCCCGGCGGCGTGTGCCAGGGAGGAGGCGAGCCTGGGTCCGGAGCGAAGCCCGGCGGCAGCCGAGCTCCCAGCACACTCCTGGCCCTCTTGCACCAGCACCACTGCGGTGGGAATGGCACTTCCCAACTGGGAGCTCAGCGCTTAGGAGAACAAACGACCAGTTTCTGAGCAACGCAGAGCATGTGTAGGGTTTTGATGCTTTTAGTTTTGAGTGGAATGTTTTTCCCATCGTAGCGCTGCAAAAAGACTGGTTTCAGTACATTTGTAAAGTCATCTAAAGGACTGTTTTCAAGTCCTCTAGATAATAACTGACATTTTTAAAGAAGTCCTGATTGAGAAAGCGAAGTTTTGCTCAGCAGTGCTGCCTTTCCTGCAATGGATCTCTCTCTAGTTTATCCAACAAGAATTCCAGTAACTGCACAAAGCCTGTGAAACACTCTGATGTCTAATGATTTTTCTAACAGATGGGTCAGGGAGTTCCTGAATGAAGAAAACAAAGGCCTGGATGTTCTGGTGGAGTACTTGTCCTTTGCACAGTATGCAGTCACGTAAGTAAGACATGCCTGGTGCTCCCTGGGCTTGGCTCCTGCCATCCCTGCAGAGCAAGAGGGAAATGCCAGGGCAGATGCTCAGCTTTTCTAGCAGAGCTATCCTGCCAGCAGCTTGGTGTAATACCACGTGTGTACCTTAGAACAGAGAAAATGGAAATGTTAATCCAAATCCATTGGATCATAACATGTTGCAGAGGAAAAAAAACCCTAAATTTAAGCCTTGAGATTATTTATCTCTTTGGCTGCACTGACATGTTTTTTAGCTTTGGCCTCTGACTGTCGTAGGGATACAGTCATCGGCATCGTGCGCGGTGGTTGCGCTGCAAGACAGCAGTAGGAATTTCAAGGTGATTTTGCAAGTCAGGAAGACAATGAAACAAGCTTTTTTTTTTTTTTCTGGTTAGCTGAGAGTCAGATTTTAGTCATTTAGGTAATAAATCATTACATGTGCTCTATTAAAAACAATGGGGAAAAAATTAGCTTTCATTAGTCGTGATATCACACAATTTGAAATAGGTGTTCAGCTGAGAGTCTTGTTTTAAATATCCACAGGCTTTCACTTCAGGATATTGTAGCGATAGATTTTTGTATAAAACTGCACGAAAAGAAGCAGTAGGTTAAAGATACTGTTGCAGTTAGGAACTCAAGCTGAGCACATTTGATTTTATTTTTAGCAAAGATGCCATCAGATGCGTATATACCGTCGCACAGAAAAGAGGTTTTTTGATGGGGTTGCAATAAAATTAATGAAGGAAAATTATATGTCTTAAAATGTTACTAACACTGGAAAAAACTGTGCACAGCAAAAAGAAGTGTTTGTATAAAGACTTTCTTCCTAAAATTATACAAATGTGCACAAGCTAGCTTGCTGGGTTTTTCCCCTCTCCAACGTGGTAAACATGAGTAATAACCTCAAAAGCTGTAAGGGGAACAAGGAATTTTTGCTTGAAATAGCGGTACAATGGGCAAGGACTCAGAAATCAAAGAAAATCTGTAATGATTGTGGTAATGTGTTACATGTGCTGGGAGGTTCGTGAGGGCCAGCAGGCCAGTGTGAACCCTCGGTCCCATATTGATGGAGGAAACTGAATTAGTACTTGCACAACGTATTGATTTACTGAAATAAAACGGAGCCAGCTTTAAGCATTCTCCCTCTTCCCTTCAAGGCAGGGCTATTCATCAGCAAAGCAGCCAATATTGTATTTATTTTACATTGAAGTAGAGTAACGTGTAGCTGTTTGATCCTTCTGAAATTGAGTGCTTGTGTGGTTAGCTGCTCCCTTTGTCAGGCTCCAGGTTTGCTGCGCTGTGCGTTCGGAGCAGCCGAAGGGAAGCTAGCCTGCATCACCTTCCTCCTTTCTTTTTGTAACCTTTTGGCACCTACTGAAATCTGCAGGTGTCGAACAGGAAGGAAAATGCTATGTGCATCTTTTCTCTCCGACCCGGCGTTGGAATTTCTCTTTCCTTTCAGGTTTGACTTTGAAAGTTTGGAGAACAACGTGGAAAATTCGATGGACAAGTCCAAACCTTGGAGCCGATCTATCGAGGACCTGCACAGAGGCAGTAATTTGCCCTCACCGGTTGGCAACAGCGTCTCCCGCTCCGGCAGACACTCGACTTTACGGTACGGAGTGACATCGGGCAGTGGGGGACCTACAAACAGCGAGCGCCCAAGTGAGAAGAGTCAGTGTGGTTTTCCAATCAGAATATTTTCCATCTTCCCTCTTTTCACGGTGTAGGATTGACATACGTAGGAAACGTGTCGTTGTGCTGATGGTTTGGAGGTGGAAAGAAGCGCTGAGCTGTAACGCGGGGCACCGCTGCACGGCGATGGAGGGCGATTGAGGAAGAGGCAAAAATAACTCTGCCTCTTTCCGATGGCAGAATGATCTAAGGCTGCACGATACGTTTCCGTCAAGTACAATGTGGTTTGCACAGAGGAAGCAATTCCTCTTCTCCAAAGAGTGCCTCAAGGTTTCCATGGACCCAGCCAGTCTGGGGCCCTGAGCTGGTGTCTCGTCCAAAAAGGTCTCTTCTAGCAGCACGTTCCCTCCATGCTGCTATGAACAAGATTTTTATTTTTTTTAAAGACCACTTCCACCCTTCAAACCAGCTGTAAATACTAGCACTGGCCCAGGCTTTACTGCAAAGTCTCTCTTTCTGAATACTGGGATTTTTTTTTAGTTTGTGGAAAAGGCAGGATCACGTCCCAGGACTGACTGGCAGTCAGCTCTGTTACGTTCCGTCGATGCTTCGCTATTCTAGAACATACTAAACATCACCTTCAGCCTGGCAGCTGTCACCCAGGGCCACGGCTCAGGGTGCTGAATGGCATTGTACTCGTCCGCTTTTTGACTTTTTGTGACTTTTGTGGAGTTTTGTTACATCATACTGTGAGCATAAAGGAGTCCCAAAAAGATGGAAGTGGGGAGGACTTGCAGTTTTTTCCTGCATCTTCCATTCGAGAGTCAGGTTTGGTTTGTCAGTCAATAGTAATGTTGGCTCTTCAGATGATGTTAAGTGGGTGCCTTCCACCTCCAGCCGGAGATGTTCCAGCGGATACCTGGAAGATGTAGTTCACAGACCTCAGGCAGTGGAGAGGAGGAGATGGACACACAGTTCTGGTAAAGAGATACAGGCTGTGGAGTCCAGCACAGTCACTTCACCAGTTGTTTTTTGGGGTTTTTTTTGATGTTGCAAAGGTGGTTTTAGTTTTCTTTGAGCTTTAATCACTATGACAGAGAAGAGGCAGGGTCTTGTGCCTGCAGGAGGATGTCTGATTCTGCTCTCTGTCTTTGGGAGGCGTGCTCGTGATGAATTATACTAGAAATGCGTAAGTCAGGTGTACATTACATGTCTCTCACATTTTTTCTCTTCGTTTCCTTCCATCCTTTTTGCTTTTTCACATCCCCCTTTATTCCTTACCTATTTTATTTTCCTTTTCGACGTCTCCTTCCTCGCATCCTTCGTTCCCCTCCCTCTTCCAACAGCTCTTCTCCAATTTTCTCTTGCATCCTTCCCTCCTCCGCTCTCATCTGCCTTTCACACCCTGTCAGATTGGTTTCTCTGCCCGAGCACCTTCAGTTCAAACACCACCAGAGCTGCTTTTCAGCCAACTGCCTCTGGAGCGGCTTCACTTGGCGCTCTGCCGATGAGGCTTCGAGCCGGAAAATCCCGTAAGTCCCGGGCGCCAGGTCGCCGCAGCACGGGCGTGCGGGGCATGGGGCTGCGGGGCTGGCACGCACCCCATGCCGTATAATCTGGTAGCCATACGTCTCGCTGGAGCATCGGGGCGAGCCCTCAGCCTCCAAAACGTGTGGTTATCACATTATAACTTCAAAGCGTAGTTCGCTTCCGTAAAGTGGGATTTTCTAAGAGAAAATAAAATGTTTTACTCAGAACGAGATACTAGTTTTCTGTATCATATTGCAAATAGTGTATTAGTTTCATGCATAAGACGTAGAGCCCTTAGTCATTGTCCAAGTTATTTTGTCTTTTTTATTACAAATGGGGACTTTTGCTCGTATCCAAAATTGGCACAGAGTTGTAACGCAGTACGATGGTGTTTTTCGGCCAAGTGCCCCCTCCTGTCTGCAGAACCATCTTGGTACTGAGGAAACTTGGGCAGAAACTGCCCGACAGTTACGTGGAATTAGCATCTTCGGCTTGTGTTTCATAAAAAAAAACAATTCTGTGTTTTAAAATGTGTGTTTTTTCAACAGCTCGGGGCTATGCGTGTTAAAAAAAGTAAAAGCTAAAAGTAGGTGGGAAGTTTTTAAGAAGGTTTGTTTTCTTTTATAATTAGTAAATATTGGATAACTGAAACAGAATCTTTTCCTGAGAGCAAGCTGGGTGCTCATCAAAGGAGGAGGGTGTGCAGGATGATGGTTCTGGTCAAAACCAGGAGGTTTCTTCCCTGTCACTGGGTAGACAATGTGTCTGGGACGTGTGAGGATCCAGAGTTTCTTCTGTGTAGAAGCTCCTCTTCTATCTTTGTTATAAAAACTATTAAAATGGAGAGAAAGGAAGGAGCAGTCCTCCCTCTTGGATGAGAAAGGAGGAGGCTCACAATCTCAACAGGGTAATTTAAAATTCAGGAGCTGGACTCATCCCTGCTATGCCATAGCAGTGTGAAAAAGGAGAACAGATTTGCCCTGAATTCCTCTTTATTAAATAAACAGCAAGCAGATTTGGAGCGACAATGTTTCCTGCCAGCTTTAACGCTGTTTTTTCTCATTTTTGGTGCCGGTATGGCTGTGGCACGGCACCAGTTCTTCTGCCTGTCCTCGGGGTTCAATCCCTGTAAACCTGCTGTAGCCCTCAGGACCCTGCACAGTCCCACCTAGTGTTCAGTGGACGCGTTATTTTTATATTCATTAGGTATATTTTATATATTTATATAATTTATGTATTTATACAATTCATATGTTTGTATAATTTATATATTTGTATAATTTATATATTTATATGATTATAGCCAAAGGTGTAGGAGATCAGCACAAAGCAGGGCTAGGAAGTTGTGGCAGGGGGGGG